CCATTGACAAACGGCAAGCAGTATTTTCCGCTCGAGAACACTAATAGGCCCAGTTCAGACGCCGAACTTTTCATAAGCCGAACTTAATTCGCATTTGGACCGACCCAAATTAAAAGAAGTACGCCTGTTGATTCAGACGCCGAACTTAATTCAGTTTGAACTGAAGCAACTCGAAATGTCAGCGGTTTTCAGGCCAATTGTAAAATACGTTATAATAATTTATGCATTAGGTTCGGCACATGAAAAGTTCGGCGTCTGAAACAAAGCCGTTCCAAAAGCGAAATTCCCGGCTGAGCCAGGCGGGAAGAACGGCTGAGCCGTTCCAAATTCAAATAGCCGTTCTTAACTGATTCAGACGCCGAACTTTTCATGTACTTAATTCAAGGTATTAGGTTCGGCTCGTGAAAAGTTCGGCGTCTGAACTGGGCCTAAGGCGTTCCTCTGTATCACCATTTACACTGAAAAAAATGCCCAATCTGGCCCAATGTTCTAGGAAGCTTGTTTAACTTGAATTCGCATGTAGCGACGGCTTTGTACGGCTTTGTCGGTTTATGTACGGTGTAAAACGGCACCAGTTACGTCATAAGGAATAAAACAAAGAAAACCAATGATCCCACGTGTTGACCGTTTTGCACCGTACAGAGCCGCTTTGTGTGTCAAATTAGTTTGTTTGCTAATAGTTAGCCTGCGCCGCAGACACTTTAAACCTTGTTTATAGCGACTGCGAATTAGTGCACAATATCGTGTTCGAATCCCGCAGAGTCGCAAGGACATATGTGAGCTTCTTTGTTTGGCTAGATAGCGGCTAGTTAATTACGCAATTTGTGATTGGTCTGACTTTCGCGCAAGATCGTGACGCTTTTTTGTGACGATGTCCAGTCCGATCTGAATGCTTTGAAATCGTATCCCCGATATTTGCAAGTGAATACCTGAATAACTGTTATCATATGTCTGATTCGTTACTTTACTGATGTTTATGTTTATGTTTATGTTATGTTTATGACATGGAAAAGAGTTACGAACGGGTAAACTTGGAAAGATGTAAGCAGGATTTCGACTCGCTCGCCGAAATCGAGATCCTGCTGATCTTGCACCTCGACAGGAAGTACATATGCAGATAGTGTGTTGCGAAACTAAAAAATAACGTCGTGGACTTATCATCCAAAAAGCTCAAGAAGAATCTGAGTTAAAAAGTATCCACGACAAAGCAAAGAGAATAGGAGATGAGTCATCAGAGAGCGGTGTAGATTCACATCGGCAAAAAGGAAATCATGACTACAAGACTAGAGCCGCCAGATTTATTGAGCACAGCTCCTGCAGCGATTAGGAGACACTGGAAAATCAAGGATTTTCCGTAACCGATCGGCAAATTTATAAACACGTTCCGGCCTTCAAGTTATTCTTTCAAAGAATTTTCCTTCTCAATTTCGAATTGCTCGTTCACTGCTTTTTGCCAACTTTACTCAGTAAATTTTGACATACTTTGGCTTGCGGTCACGCGCACGCGAGAACTGGACCAATCAGGAGGTGTGTAAGAAACCCGCCTATCAGAAACGCTCACATATGTCCTTGCGACTCTGCTGGATATCAGAACGAGCTTTTGTGCACTAATTCGCAGACGGACTATATCCATACTATACGCGATACGTGGGCCGGCTGCACCGCAGGCTAGCTAATAGTGAGCTCACAAAGAAATATAATACGATGGCACGTGTAGTTCATAATACAGCACATTTATGTTTGCAGCCACAGCTTTAACTCCGACGTTAAACTTCCTAATTACACTTTTTATAGAGAACTTAAACAACTGACGACGATTCTCTGTTTTTTTTTTTTTTCTGAACTTGGATATGGTCCTTACGAATTCAACTCTACGAAAATTCGCCAACATTTCACAAAATGAATAAGGTGGTATAATATAACGACGAAGTTTGAACATTCTCAATTACTTCCCACAGTAAAAGGCCTTATGAGGAATTCGAAAAAAAATGAAATTTCATTTTATATTAATGTGACATTTTCAAAATGTACATTGAAATAAAAATTGTTGATGATGGGAGTTGAAACATTGCAAGTTTAAGGTGACGCTCTTGTTACTGTCTCCGTCGAAATAGCCGCTGACATGCTCCCTATTAAACTTATAAACTAAAATTTTTGAGCAATCAGCTTTGTAGAAATAAAACGCTTCTTCGTTCCCTTAGTCCGAAAATTAAAGTTGTGATTTTGTCAATTCCTATGACGCATTTACGGAAGCCTCTTCCAAGGTTCATATCCAATTTCGGATTTCGCGTTCCTTTCGGCCGTGAAATCTGGCAAACCTTGGACCAAAAATCCGTTTTTTGGATTCTCCGAAAGGAACTGCACACCAAGGCTTAGTCATTGACTAACGGCTAAGTAGACATTCCCGGCCCTTATATACATGTACAACAAACCGAAGATTTAGCCGTTAATTAATGGCTAAGTAGACATTCCCTTAGTATACAAACCAAATTAATGGCTAAGTGCACATCCTCCTTATAGACAAACCCAAAATTTAGTCGTTCATTTAATGGCTAATTAAATAAACATTGTCTTTATATACAAACAAAAAATTTAGCCGTTAATTAATGGCGCAATGAATTTTTTTTGTAGATAATACAAAGCCTATACTTTATTGCTAAATTTGTTATTTAACTGCAAAGCAAATTTATTATTTGAGTTCCATATTGTTTTGGCCTCGAAATAAGGGGAAGGGGGGGGGTCGCAATAGAGCTAATTCTGTTTGTTTAACCAAAAATATGGTCAAAATTGGAGCTTTTCCTAATGCGACCCCTACGAGCAAAATTTGGAAAAATTTGTCAGTGGACCAAAAAGATCAAAGGCGCCGTAGTGTATGGGTGGGGCAGGCAGATTTTTCCAAAATCGCCTAAAGAAAACAAAAATTCATGAAACATTGCAACTGCGTGTTTACTTAGGAAAATTGATGCAGAGTAGAAGCGCACGAACATTTCATCATTGTTTACAAAAGCGTTTTATCAGTGTTTACACAAGAATTTAGCCTTGTTGTGTGGTTTCGTGTGCGACCAGAAAATGAGCCCAAAAAAATTGGTCAGTACCGATATTTTTGGGTCTTTCAGACCGACCAAAAAAAAAAATTCGCTCTAGTGCGACCCCCCCCCCCAAGTAAGTAAGAATTTGAGATGATTTATAATTCATCGGCTTTACTAGTAAAATATAGTGAACACAACTTATCCCTGGAAAGAAAGCATTGACGCAAGACCGGTACCATACAAAAGTTAAAAAAGACCTAATAAACACCGGTTAACTTGATTCATTTTGGTGTGATCAACCGTAGCAATGCTGTTCTCTTATCTCAATGTAACTGAGTAATTCATATGTATTTTTTCATTCCTTCTGAGGGAGCAGAGACGACAAGATGTCGCACCAAGCGACTCTTTGGAGGGCAACGTGGTTGCTTTTTGCAATGTTTGCTGTGTTTTCTG